CCTATTGTTGGGTGGGTATAATGCAAACCCTTTAACTACGTTCTAATTTGTGACTTTGAGACAGTGTTATTTCGATTGGCTGTCCTAAGAAGACTTCAACCATCTGATTATAAGTGCTTTTTCGATGTTGACATCCTCATGCTTAATTCTTTGTGACCAACATATATTGATTTTGTTTGTTTCAGTACATTTTCCTCTTTGAGTTTATTCCTTTACTGTTAAGAAGTATAGTAACTTAAACCGACAAACACTCATCTGAAATTCTCTATTATACCGTCTATCAAAATATTAAAATGTTTGGTGCTTGTAGAAAGAAGGAGAAGGATTCAGTTACCAATGTTTTGGATTTTTCTACACGTTATCTACTGACTCATAATAACCATCACACCTACCCATGTTGTAACACTGTGCCCTGGGAATTTATCTGATAATATGACGATCATTCACGCTTAGTATGGTGACGAGTGCATCGTCTCACTGTCTACCGCTGCTGAAATGCTGAACTACTGTGGTTACTAGGGCATTTGGTGAGACCTAAATCACTTTATCGGTGAAAAGTGCTCAGCTTCACTACTGTTATTCGATGAATGTTTTTAAATGGAACTTCAACAAATGTTAGAATTAGATAGTGACACCGATTCTTTTATAGTTTAGTCATATATCAAGTGTGTTTCTCAGACAGTAGCAATTTAAGTTACAACGCAATTATGTTTTGCTTACGGCTGTTTGAAGAGTTATTTCTTTAATCATCCAAGACCTGAATGACCATGAACACAGGCTACTGATGAAAACCAGATGTTAATATACATCAGCGATATTTATCAAAAAAATTGTGTACTGTTCTAGTGTATAATTCCATGTCAATTTGTTTGTTAGATATTTCACATATTGAAACAGTATTATTTACTGGATGAAGTTTTGAGCAGGAATTATTGTTGATATTCATATCAGCTTTGGTATAAATATGAGCAATAAATTCTTTTCGAAGTGTCAGCTAGTAAATACTACTTTTTCATTGTGTGGAATATCTAACAAATAAATTAACGTGAAATCAGCGAGATTCATCAAGTTTTATATTTGCAGTGGAAACTCGATTGTTGGTTGTAATTGTAGATGTGTATTTGAAGCAAACAGATTAGTGGTCTGCTGTCTAAACAGGTTGACTGTTGTTTCTTATGCACCATTAAGGTTTAATCATATGTTGTACATGAGGTATAGAGATAGATCGTAGTAGAACCTTGTACGAAAGTGCGCCAGTCTAGGGTCTCAGATTCATGAAATTTTCCTTACTTGTTTGGTGTTTCAGTATGCGAGACCCTCTTTCGAAAAATATGAAGAAATTAATGTAATGGAACTTTATATTAGTTAGATTTTCTATCTTTTGCCGATATGTAACACCGTCTAGCATTTGGTTTTTTGTGCCATCTTTCCTTTGGTGATGGTATCCGGTAAATAAATATTCGTAAACTTGAATTGTTGTTTAAACGTCCACATTAGCTGCCGCACCACAAAGTGTTGTTCATCAAGGACATCCACTAGCTACATTTCTATTTTACTTCAAGTTTCATGTCATCCTTGATATAATTACTTTCACCTTTGGTTAGTTCTTGGGTGTTTATCACTTACTGTTATGTCATCCTATCGACTAAGGCTACTCAGTATACCTTGGTTTGGTGAAAGCAACAGGGATACTCAAAGCAATGTGAATGTTTTCAACAAAAATCTCAAGCATAGCAAATTTAAAATGACGCTTAAGAACTGGTACCTATTCACTCAGTCTGATTGAGGCAAATGAGTTAGTCATCAAATGTTTCCATCGCTTCACTTATCTGGACAGATGCGTTTGCAACGTGTTAACGGGGAATTAGAGGTTAACACAGATTCTACGATGCTGTTAAGATCTATCAACTTATGCTATCTGTATCATTGATAAAATATTTATATAACAGTCAAACCTTGGCTGCAATATGAAGCAGTGCTTTTCTAATCGCCTTCAAGACTATGCGACGTCATTTTTTAAAGGTGGATGAGAAAGAGTTTATGCTGTAAAAACCCTTAGAACGTTCATAAGATGCGATATTCGGGTTGTAAATGGTGGTCAAATGAAATGAGTATAGACTTTTTCTGATGGAGGTTGTGTAATGAACAAAACAATCACGATATCACGGGGCAAAATCTTGAGATAATGATTCATATATATATATATATATATATATATATATATATATATATATATATATATATATGGGGTATGAATGTTTGCTTACTAATAATCATTATTTAGCGATGAGTTGTTATTTTCAAGCAGGGTGAAAAATCACGTGAATACAACTTTTAAAAATAGCAGATGTGGAGTATTACATATGGGTAAAAAAATAACCTACTGGTTATCATTCCATTTGATTTTATTTTTATTTATTTATTTATTCTATTTATTCAGTATTGAAATGATTTTACCTTATGCCTTATTTTCGGTATGTATATAAAACACTTATTCTCATTGAATTTAACGATAATTATATTAGGCATTTTAGCTATTACTTGTTCCCAAAGGTCAGCGTCATGGATATGTCTGTTGAGAAATTTCTTCATATTGTCCTACAAAATCCTAATTTTTAAGCGCCGATTTCCAAGTTGAAATTATTTTGATCATTTATTTATTATTTGTAAATCACCTGCCTCATTCATGTATTTATAATTTTAAAAAATTGAAGTGCATTCAACAACCATCTGTGTGTTCATTCAGTAAGCAACGATACTTATCTATTGTATTGTGGGCTAATGACGCTACCTGGTTGCCCGAACTTCGGTAGATGTAGCGGGATTTGAATACTTGACCTACTTTCTAGAAATCGAGTATATAGACCAATGAGTCCCAGTTCCAACTTCGTTCTTCTCCTGTATTTCATACCAATTGATTATTTTATTGTAATCCTAAGCTTTTAGATCTTTGTAATTTTCACGGTCGCTTTTTACCTTGAAAAGTTATTCAGGATATTTTTAGACATTCTATTCACTTCTTGATTGTGTTTAGTGAGGGTGTGTGTATGTATGATGTATATCTAGTCGTACTTGAGATTCATCAATTAGTCTGTATACATGAGTGTTTTGTCTTTGTTTCAAACATCTGAAGGTTATCCAATCGCCAACCCTTGCTCAACAGGCACTAATTGTCATTATTTATTAATGTCCCCCGTTATTGTAATTCAGTTTTTGTTCAGGGTTACTCGGAATAACAGTATTCAGTGGCTATATCCACCTTAATGCTACGCACCTACAAATAATGCAGATTAAGAGAAGAAGGAGGAGTTCTATTGAAAACTGCAATCAGTAATGGACAAGATCCCAGCCCAGATGGCCACATCAAAATTCTAATGGGTAACATGAATGCCAAACTGGGAGCAGGCAACACGGGAAAAGAACTCATCATGGGCCGAGCACTCGATGAAATGAATGAGAATGGAGAACTGTTTGCAAACTTCTGCGCATTCAATGACTTGATGATTGGAGGTAGTGTATACAAGCACAAGATATTCACAAAGCCACACGGATTTCAGCAGACTCCAGGATACACTAAAAATCAGATCGACTTCATCTCAATCTGAAGAAAGTGGAAACGCAGCCAGCCTACTGGAGACAAGATCAAGAAGGAGAGCAGATGTAGATTCAGACCACTCACTGTCTAGTGCAAGGAACCTTCAAACTCAAGTTGAAGGCCACCAAAGAAGCTGGTGATAAACGACCACAGTTGAAGTCCTACACCCAGAACAGAAACTGAAGGACGAAACTACAAAGGACATCTTCACACCAGTCATGAGAACAAAGTAGGAGATATTGAGCAACATCCCCGGGGAAACGTGCGTGGATGAACACTGGGACTCTTTGAAAGAGACGTAGAAGAGAACCTGCATAACCGTATTAGGAGGGAAGAAGAAGCAAGACAAGGGATGGATCTGGACGGAGACATGGAAACTGATGGAGTAGGGAGAGGAAGATGGTGAAGCAGAAGATGAACCAGTGCAATTCAGTGAAGGGATGAACAACGAAAAGAGGAACTGAGTACAACCTATAAAGCACTGGACAAGGTGGTGAGGAAGAGTGCGTGGAAAGACAAAAAACACTTGTACGACACATTGGCAAGTGAGGCAGAACAGGCTGAGAGCTGGTAGGAGATACCTGACAACATTATATCAAATAACCAGGTTACTATCTGGTAGGGAAGAGATCAACGCAGATGAAACCAATGAAAGATATAGTGATAGAAACTCAGCTACGAAGGGGAAGAAACAAAGAAAACGGTGGGCTGACCACTTCAACAAACTATTGAATTGACCATCACCTGCAACTTGTCCACAAATACTATCAGCAGCCCAGCCACAGAACTATCAGTGAACATAGACCCTCGGACAGAAGCAAAAGTCGTGAATACGACGAAGCTATTGGAAGCCGGGAAAGCAGGAGGACCAGATGGAATTCCTCCAGAAGTACTGAGAACAGACGCAGGGACAACAGTACACATGTTCACACCACTGTTGCAGAAGGTTTGGAAGGAAGGAAGAAAAGATACTTGCCGATTGGAAGAAGGGCTACCTTGTCAAATTCCCATTAAAAGCGTTTTTAAGATGACAATTGGTTTCATTCACAACCTATATACGAATAAATTGCATTCGTATTAGCCTTTCCCTTTCAGTAGTAACTTGGACTTATATGTTGTTCATTTTTTTCATTCATTGTTCAACAGTCCAGTTGGGTTTTTCTACTTTCTCACTTTTCATATTTTTCTGTGAAGGAACAAATTAGCTGAAATGCCTTACTTTCAAGTAGTAGGTTCAAACTCGACTCCATATACTTCTAACTGGATAATCGGATAGTATCATAAGTTTTCATATAATAATTGTAGCACATAGTCTAGTGCATAAAATTGTACATCGTTGAGTTACATCAGTTTTTCTGCAATACCAATACTTTGTTTATATTTTACTTTGTTTGCTCCTGTTCAGGTATCTCGTAGAAGGTTGCGGATTTTGTCCAGCAGTGATTCGGAATCCGATGATCCTAATGGAGTTGTACTTCGTCGTGTGAAACTTACCAGTAAGCGACCTAGATTAATAAGATCTCCAAGTGGTGAATCAGATTCTGAGGGTTCCTCTCGCATAACTGGTCCATCATCCACACTTAATACTAATTGGCTTGCAGAAAGTGATTCAGATGTACAAACGAATTCTGTTAGCCGAAAGAATGGTGAACAGAAAAGTACCACTTCACAATCTTCCTTTACCAGTAGCATTCAGAATTCCACTTCAGAAAATATTCAGCATGAATATGATTCAAAGCATTCTGACTTCGCTGAAAGTTATGCTCCTGCTGTAAAGCGTACACAGAGAAACGTAAACTCTCAAGAAAGAAACCTCGAAAACGTCAATCAAATAAAATGAAGATGAGAAGACGCACCAAAAAAATATCAGTCAAGTCTAAGAGCCTTAGATATTCAAGAAAAAAAATTATACGTAAGAAAATGGTGAGTAAATGCAACTATTGCCATCACTGTTTTGGTTGACGATAACGTAACTGGTAATTACAATTGACTTATCACAGTAGTCGGAGCTTTTATGCAAGAAAAATAGTAGACTATGTTAAAAAGTACTCGTACATACAAACAATGCTCTATTACATTCAATTCAATTCCTTTGAAAATATAAACTTCCAGTTAAGGCTGATTACTTGCAGATACAGAAGCCTAAATAACTATAGTTGAGTTGTAATTTAGTTTTAGAGTTTTACAGCCTACGATCAAAATATCAGTGTGTTGATGATCGTCAAATGTATTGTTTGAGTAAAAGTCTTGTATTGCTTAATAGGGTTACTTTTGCATGAACATCGCAATTGTTTACTTATCTTTTCTGTTTCTCTTTTCACCCACTTCTCTTTGTTTACGTCGGTATTTTCTACTGCTGTTGACTTTATCTCTGTATCGTTAAGCAGCGTGTCGCATTTAACTGTTTCTCTTTTCCCCGAGGGTAATATTGTCTCACTGCAGTGTTATAACCTAGGAAATATTGGTGTCAGCTTCGTAGCCTAAATTATTTAGGCACTGAATTCATCAGACTACATCTTTTGTTGTTATAGTGCCGAAAATTCCTTCCAGACTTTATTTTTTGCGCAAAAATATTTCTCAGAAGTTTCGTAAAAGTTGTAATGACAAGGTATTTGAATTTTCTTTTTGTATACACGTAGTGTTCTAAGAGCCTTCGAAGGTTGTTAGTGGACGTACAACCTATCTGATGGATAATCTCATTGACACTGGACTGTATAACTATGCCAACTACAGTGAACTGTAACAATCGTTTTCATGCTTCACAAATGCACCTGAAATTTACACCTCACTGTGAATTTAAAAATGTAAATCTAGAGCTGATTGCACCCTTATGTAATTCTGCCTGAGACCTGAAATTAGTAGGTGAACAATCCTATTGAACCACTACACAGATCTTACTTATGCATATTCATTACGTATCATCAGGATAACACTGCGTTATAGTAATCGACCAGGTTTCTTGTGTAGTGTGCTTTGGTCTAGAAAAAAGTGGAAATGCTCTCAGCAACCTTGCGCACATTTGTGCAGTAGGCGATGAGCCACACCTGTTGTATGAGGACTGGTCGCCCAAACCTTCGTAGGTGTAGGAGTGTTCGGACTAGTGACCCATTGGTTGAAAGTCAGCTACTTAAACCCATGAGCCACAGCTTTGATCTAGGCGCTTACATAATTTCTTAGCTTTCAATCTTTTACACGATTCAAGGTGATATTTTGTTGCAATGCAGACTTCGATTCGAAACACTTACTTAGCTGGTTGTCTACCAGTGCCTGAATATATGAACTTAGTTATTAAGTATTATAGTCTGCCTGTATTGTGGTGAGACAGCAAACGGTTGCTTCCACAAAGCTGTTCATCGTTGCAATATTATGACTGAGCTATTCTTAAACTGCACGTGCCTTCTAAGCTAGTCACCGTTGTTTGAACTTTGTTGCATATTGGATAAGTGAGACATTAATCTAGGACGTTTCTGTATCTGACATACCCACGTGCAAAATACCAACCAAGTCCTCGTATTATCCTTCGTCTATCATCTTGAAAAGTGTTTCATGTGCACTTATATATGAATTCTGTGATAGCATCTTGCCTTGGTCGTGTCGTTATCGCACTAATTGCTAAACTTGCACTGATTGCGTATACTCTTATTAACAGTAGTCTTCATGCGTTAGACAAGAATATTGGACCGAAGTAAGAAGTAACTGACGAAGGAAACTATGTCTTCTTCATATCCCTGGATGAGTCCAAAGATGAGTTCCAGCATCACCTAAGTGACCCTAACCAATTTCACTGGACAGATATCAGGTTACCAAAGCCTGTTTGTCTTATAATGGTGGTCATCTTCTGCAGCTTTGCACAGATCATCTTTTTGTAGCCAGTACTCAATTCTAAGGCATTATTGATCGTTGTTCTACTTGACCTCTTCCTTTTGTACGTGGAATTCCGGAGATTATATTGTAATTACATATCGAAAATTTGTATTCAGGGCTTTTACTTCCCCTGGAGCATTCGTTACTCTGTATCAAGTTCATCTCATGTTATCGTGGTTACTAGTCTATTTGGATGTAACTTTCTCTATCCACTTGCTTTTTGTATGCTACTGTGAAGTGTATCAACTCGACTCCATGCGTTTCTATACGAAGTTATACGCTGATTTTGCCTGTGTGATAATCAGAATCGTTGCCGAAAACAGACTGACTGAAGCAAATCGGTTGCGTATAGTACCGTAAGTAAATACCATATGCAAGTAGGTTCGAAACAGAGTATGAATGAGCATCGGTCATACCTATAAGATGTCATCAAAGTAATGGACAGAGCTTTCCGGAGACTTCGAATATTAGGGCCACATTCTTTATCCCATCAGGGTCATTAAATTCATATAACACCATTGGTTTGGAATGAAGGCTAGGTAACAGGAAGTCATCGTCTTGTATTTTCAGATCTCTTCAGTTTCCAAACAGAACGCGTTTACAGTATGTCACCTTTTCATTTTATAGTTCCAACCTTAATCTTGCGGTGCAATTCGTCTAGATGGAACGTCGGTTTAAGATACCCTATTTCTGCTTCTATTACTTAGTATTACAGAAACATTTCTTTGTGGTTCATATTCCATGATCGTGTATAATTTTTCACAGAATGAATCTAACATTTTTATGCTTCAACTATCCTTGATTATCAAAGTTGTTACTCCTCTTGGTGAATTTTGACACTTTCACGTGAAGTGTACCGATTGCTATGAGTAAAAAAAATTGGTATTCATTATGTTTTGTTGGCTACATTAACTTGATTTTTTCAAATTCCGTTTGCTCTGTCCGCTTTAACTGTTCATAATAGCATAAATTTCAGTTGCTCAGAGTTCATTTTTCGAAAATAAATTGTAGTAACTGAGACGATTTACCAGCGGAGTATTACCGTTGGAAATTAGAAGTATCTTTAATTGCATCGAGTAAAGAAAGAAATGATAATATTTTACTTGTGTACTGTTTATTTTTACCGTATATTTGTCTGTTGTGTAATAATACAAAATGATATTTCAATGTATTTTGTTCATATTCAGGCAAGACTCTCGGTATCTCTTTCATCTAACAGTCCAAGGCCATCAACTTCGTCTCAACCTCGGCTTCGGAATGGTGTAATAAGAACTGGCTTGCCCAAACTTTCAATTCTGGGTAAAGAAACACAATGCAAGTATGTTTATCAATTCACCGTCGTCATCTAACAATTTTTAAAACTTTTAAATGAAGCATAAATTAGTTTATATTCAATGAAGTGGGCAGGCTGATTTAATCTGTAACTTTGGTAGTTGCTGTAACATTGCTTATTGTTAAGTTGTAAACACTGAATAACATTAAGCATTGGTAAGACCAGTTTATTCAAGTTGTTTTCGATATTTCTTTGAGCAACTCTGAGTGTTTTGGTAATACTCACTGATATTAGTGACCGTAATTGCCTCATTGTCTGTTGTTAATGACCTGTTGGAATACTGTTGTCTCAACAGAACGTGAGAATTTGAGATTTTCATCAACTGTATCTACTTATTCACTAATCTACTGTGATGCGACCACTCACTTTGTAAGGATATAATTGTTTGATAGTTTGCTTATCAGTTGTATGCGATCATCACAAACGTTGCTTCACTAGAAACAGCGTAGACTGGAATTTTGTTTAACCATGAAAATAGTTTGAAGAAATCCACCATCGCAAATGGAATTCATTAAGCAGTCTGTGTCATTGAAGCTATTTATTTTATGCAGATGAATATTTGGAAACATTTGTTAAAATCTCATTTCGTCAGCCAGTTAAAACTTTTTGTTCACCTTCAACTGCTAACCACATTCTCTTTCATTTTAGTGATCACACAAAAAAAATTGATACCACTTGACAGGAAGCTCTAAACCTAGATTGTTTTTCCTTTTAACTTCAGCATGGTGTACTTTCGACCTCAATAAAATTCATCTTCCCTCGGGAACTTGGATCCTATTTCATCCAGTGTTGAACTTCCAAACCTAGTCATAATCATTCATACTTAACCCAGGTACTGAGTAAAACGTGTCCGAATTTCCGAAAGAAAATAGATTCCTCTAGGTTACTGATATGTCCTTGTAGACAGGAAGCCTAAGTAACGGGACTGTCAGCTGACAAACTCCAAACATCTGATACTGAACAAAGTACAACCTAATATCAAATCACCCGACAAAAATGTCAAATCTCATCCTTCAAGAAAACATCCCAATCAGTAAATTCTACTTTGAGTTTTACTTTAAGGCAATATTCCTGGTCGATTGGAGGTGCTGATAGAATGACGGCATATTTGTCTATTAAAAGTGGATACGATATGGCGTGACCATGGGGAAGAGCCGAATTAACTAAAGATCACGAAGACTAAAATAATGAATACCTATTCACTATGATGTCTTTCAACTTGCACAACCTCTTGATTTCTTATCGCTAAACTAGGTATTAGCTGAAATCAGTCGCGAAGTGATAATTTTCATTTGAGTATTAAGAAGCGCTTCCTAAACATTCGCAAATTGTCCTTGGAAATATCCAAAAGGCTTCATCTCGTCAGCATTTTCACTTGTATCATCTGTGTACTCAAGATATACGAAGGAGTCTTCTATGACGTGGTCAGTCTCTGTAAAGTCAGATCAAAAGAGAAAAACTTCAATAATCATGTTTACGATCAGGCCAGATACGGATGGAGGGAACTGATATCCTTAACGAACATCACTTGATGTAGACAACTCATGTGATACCTAACCATAGGCTCTAACATGCCCATGGGTGTTCAGATACAGAGACTGTAACAGAGAGATTTACTTATCGGGCTCAAATTTAAGTGTAAAACAACCGGAAACTTCACATCTGACATTTGAATAGTATGGTGAGTATTGAAGTTGGTAACCAAAACTATAAATGAAACACAGACAAATCAATGTACACAAGTGCATCGCTTCAAGCTGCCACACTTGACAGCAGCATGTAGAGAACAGGTACGTAGAAAAAGAGTATTAATAACGTAGATAAAATGTATAGAAGGAGGGAGAAGAAATAAGTGAAGGTCAGGGAAGATGTTCGAACTTTTGAAGACGTCAAAGTGTGTATATATCTACGCCATTGTGACATATCTACCCTTGTTATTACGGGTCTCCAACTGTTGATTCCTATTCTACCTACTCAGCTCAAACCAGAAGTCAAAGACTTAATAGAATGAAGTCACATCTTTGTCTGATCATCTTTCACGCTCTTGTAACCCGATTCTACTTCACCTAACATGTATGTTGAGGTAGTGTGTAGTTTGAAATGCCTAACGTCTGTCCAGACAACCTATTAATGAAAGTTCACAGTCTCATCGACTGATTTGTTTCTCCTTTCCTCAACATTATTCGCACGATGATTTCAGTGTGTCTCCTTATGCCGAAAGTTGGTCATGTCCAGACAAAAGGGATTTTTTGAGCAGAATTGCAATTGACGACCATCTGTATCGGTTCGTTGGCATGAGATTCTGTAGCTAGCTCCTAGATGTCTTCCCTATTGACTCAGCTTTCATAATTGAGCGTTAAACTCCCCTGTTATTATGACTGTATGTGGACGTTTTGCTTTCTGTCGCAAAATTGTCAGCTTTTGATAAAACTCACGGGTTATATAATGCGAACTGTAGTCAGTGGGGAGACTATGAATCTGTTCACTTTTAAAATTGGCAGGATTCGTGTATAGCTGAACTACGTTCCTAACAATAAACCTGGAATGTAATTAATGCAAACCTGACATCTTTGTTGGATTGATTGTTCTCATCCCTCTTGCTTCATTTCAGCAGAATAAGCTATATTCATGGTAATACGCAGTGACAAGCCAGCGTACTTATTGTCCGGTTCGTTTCTGGGTCACTGTTGTAAAAATATAAAGGTTTGAAGTAGGTCATTCAGTGCTAAAACGACTTTAGGCATATGTTTGAATTATTCGTGGTGAAACATAAAAGCCTATAAAGCACCATACAATTATCATCATCATACTGAGTTTCAAATTTTTACCATTGTACAGTTTTTATTATGATTCTAGACATTTAAAACTGCTAATGAAGTGCTATATTTTTGAGGTACAAAATGGATTCCTTGAAATCAGTTCAAGGGTGACTATAGAGCGTTACCTATCAAATCTCGCTTTTTCGAATTGCTTTTGAATGCCTTCTTTGTTTCAGGACTTTGCTCAAGTCTTTCGGTCGTATTCAACTCTTCTAACATTGTGCAGTTACTTTTTGTAGTTTTAAACGTATTGCTTTCTGTAGAGATACTGCTCATTTATTTAGAAATCTTGGGAAGGATTAGTCGGAAAATGTCTAAAAGCCTATCTTCGGTTTATGTTATCCTTTTTCGGGTTAAAGGTTCTAGGAGTTCAACGAAATATCAGTGTTAACAATTCTCTCTATCTTCAATATATTTGCATTTTGACAGTTATCTTCATGTGTATTTACAGTTTCAGACTTATAGTTGATGAAGATAATGACGATGGGTCGATTAGATCACGACCTTCTGCTCCTTTTTCTAGTGCAGCTAATTCTGTGTAAGTTATTTGCCATATTGTAAATTTAGTTATCTGATGGCCGTTACTGCATAATACATTTGACGTAATTTCCCGCTGGATACTACACTATATATGTTTGTATTTATTCATAATCACTGACTAAACTGGAACTTTATTTCATTTTTGGTACCTGTATAATTAGGTCTGGCCTTTGAAAGTCATATTTTGCTGTAAGTGATTCTCACGAAACCTGTCTTATCAGTATAATGCTTCATATTGCCATAGACTTTGGCATAGCAGCATATTAGGAGTAATATATCGAAAATGTAAATGCCCAATCTAACTGAACCTTTTTACGTCTATACGTAAGAAAGTAATTTTTCTCATTCTTGAGCCTATTTTCTCAATATTTTACTGGCTATATTTATATACTAACAATTTAGTCTTCCGAAAGTGTGCGATTCCGACAATAATGACTACTATTTCACAATTAGAAATTGGGATTTCGAAATCCGTAAGATGGGCTCAATCGAGCCCCGTTAAGGTTACATCCCCAGTTAGTATTTTGTGGTTCTTATATCATGAAATCGGTTGCTGAATGCGAAACAATCATAATACTGCATTAAAAAAATGACTGACTAACGAAATAGACATATAGAGGAAATTCTATGTGCTTACTTGTTATGATCTATCTGGACATATATATATATATATATATATATATATATATATATATATATATATATCGATAAAGAGGCACGTTAGAGAATGTGTAAATAAGACGGTGGGACTGAAGTGTGGAACTAAGTCAAAACATTCCTAGTTAAAGAAGACAGTTGAATTCGGAATAGATGCTAGTAATCCCTTGTCCACAAAGATCCAATTTATTCGGTCAAGTGATGTAATATTTTGCAAATTCAAAACGCGTGTGCTCACTGGTGAACTTCAGTCTTTTGATTTCTTTCTTCGCCTGAATTGTTTGAACTAATTTAGGTTTAAAACTAACGCTCTTGAATTCAGGAATTTTAACTGCTGTTTATATCTCTGAGTTCACTATTTCCGTTCTTCAATTATGCCTTGTAGACAAAACATTGAATGTCCATTTTGTATAATTTTTATCTTCTAATTACCATTATTATTATAATGTCTTAGCATACTTGACCTCAAAATACCTTCATGTTAGTTACTTTAACTTACAGAAGGGGTTATAACATTTAGTGGACATGACATTTGTATACCCTTAAAGTTCTATCACTTAGGAAGTCTATAACAATTAGACTATTTAAAATTTTCTAATACTGGAATATGCATACACACAGTGATTTCGTAATGAAAAATTAAATACTGAAATGCTAGTCACTCATGTAACCAGTTAACTGTTCACAATCCCTGAGAAATCTGCTAAATAATTTGTCTATAGACGTCAATAAGGATCTATTTTACAGGTAAGGAGAATATTCCGTGATCTCTAATTCAAAACTTTCTCAATAAAATAATGTATGTGGTGCTGAGTGACATGATTTTGAGTCCCTAATTTGTTATCCCTTCCCTCATAGTTGAGAATAACCTTTCCTGGTCATATGAATGTTCGTCAAATGACAGAAAGGATTTGTGGCTGTCTGTATAAGGATGACAGTGGTTTTCTTCTGAACTTAGGCATTCTGGATGTAAAATATTCTAACTATATGTGTATAGTGTACAGAAATTATATGAGCCTTCGCAGTCATCTACCGAACTGCTGATTAGTGTTAACAGTTTCAATCTGAATATAAGAATCTTTAATAATAATAATAATAATAATAATAATAATAACAATAATAACAATAATAATAATAATAATAATAATAGTTTTATTCCAAGTAATTTTGATTCAATTTGGAATTCTCAGCATGTAATATTGCAACATAAATATACTGCTTTACAACATTTTGAATGGTGTAGTATATAGCAATCTAAATTACTTAAATAATATTGATAACGAGGACAAATGTACATGAATGATTAGTATATTGAAAAGACTGATTATTTAGTGTTACAAAGGTGATAAGTGAGTCCTTTCTGAACCTTTTTTCTTCACATAAGATACACACTAAGCTAAACAGTTAAATTTTTATATTTATTGGTATGAGCATAGAGTCTTAGTGAATTTCTTATTGTCCTCCTTGAGGAAGTACAAGGAGCGAGTTATGAACGAAGTGAATGTTCTGCATCATAAAAATGACTGTAGCTAGTTGCCTGCTTGAATTTGAATATCTGTCAACTACAGTGTTAATCATTTGGACCAGAGTCATACCACCTACCATACTGACAGCTTTTAAAGTCCATCTCAATAGTAGATCGGAAAAGGTTAACGGGAACAATAAAAAAGAATAGACAAATACAGGAGCTAATAAATTGTAAAGTTAGAGGCTGAGTTATACTACAGAGTCTCACCTTCCTTATGTTCTGCATTAAACGAACATTTTTCTTCAGTCAGTAGGATATGAAACGACTAACAAAGATCCGAAGAAAAACTTGATTTGATTTCTACAGTAATACCATCAATACATCAGTATGCATGAAACCGGAGCAGCTTATACAAGTTTGCTTTACGCTTGAGGCTAAAATTAAAAGTCTAATATTTAGTAGGGTTTAGCTTGAGACAATATGATAATTAGTTACAGATTATCACAAGTTTATTGGTTGTAGAAGTCTTCATTCCCAATCAGGTAATTTAATCCAGCAGCTGATTAGAGAGCTCGACGTAACACCTGATTTTGTTGTTGTTTGGTTGTCTTTTTCACTCGGTGACAAGTCGTGTTTCTGCAAAAGGAAACTAAATTTCCTTAGTCACTCCCAACTTAACAAATTAAACCAGGATATAATAGTACTTTAGACTCCTTAACTGCTTATACCAACTAACTATTCTGCGTATGCTTAGTAGCAATTTTATCTTAGTTGATACACTGGATGCACCATACGCTTAAATAGTATTTATTTACTGGATAGCTTATCGGACACAAATTATTGTCCATAGTTATATTACGGTAACTCCACATGGTTCTTAAAGTCCTAATTGTTTTTCTTTCTTTGTGATGTGGATAGTAGAATTTTCTTTATATATAAAGAACCGAGAAGTGATGTCGTTCTTATTATACCCGTATTTGGTATCGATATGAAAAACAAACATCTCTTTGATCCTATTAGGAGAACTAATTTAGTTTACCAAATTCCTTGCACTGATTAAGATGTCAAAGTAGTTGACCAGGGTCAAGTGGAGCTTCCAAGAAAAAACGTTAGCTAAATCAATATTAGGAGACCCGTGTAAGATTAAGAATCTAGAGAAAAGCTCTGGTGTATCTATGCCATTCAGTTAGTCGCAAATGAAATTAAATGGGACAGAGTGTGCAGCTCCTAAAACTTATTTGGATGAAGGAAGAGATTGATTATCGAATCTTCGTTTTAAGAACCAGCACCAAATAGGGGTATAATCGAATAAAAACTACATAACTCCTTGTCTTTTTATATATGAAAACTACTAGCCATAGCACAAAGGAGGAGAAAGAAATTATTACTATATAAATCGCGTTTCAACGTTGTTGGGTTACGTTGGTGTGTCCGAAACGTAATCCAGTACATATTACTGTTTTGCCGTGTGGTACCTTCAATAACTCAGTTGAAGTGGAATTATATTCTACCGTAGTGTCCACGCTTTACCGTATTTTTAGTAACTACTTCGCTTAAAGGCTTATCACTCACGTCAGCTTTGTTTATTCGTTACAACGTACCGTATCGCATTATTTAGCGACCATTTCTTAAATAATAGTTGTCGTCATTGATAATTGCATTCTCATCTAGATTTTTTCAAATTTTAGTTCGGCTACTTCTGTTACCCAGTCGAACACCAGGTCATCGTATCTTAGTGAAATAGAAGCTGGACAAGCCTCATTATTTCACTTTTCCACTCGACACATGCAAGTAAATTCAGACCACTCTATGTCTCCCATTCCAGTAGCAAAACATTCATCATCAACTATCAAAACCAATCAAATGAATGCAATAAATACAAATGATAATCCTGTATCTCTAAACAACTCATCTCTGACTAAACATTCAACTGATAATTTATCACTCGTCCCTAAACCTCCTACATTTTTAAATTCACGTACAAACGTACTGGTCAGTAGTTCTAATAATAAATGTCAATCAGTGTCTGTCAGCACTGCTCCTATTCCGTCAACATCTCGCACTTACCCAAATGAAACCGGTTCATCAAATGGTAGTTGGAGCCTGGAAGCTATCAATCGAGTAAAGTCTATTTTGAAACATCATTTGAAGGCTTATGTTTCTTCGCACAGAATTGACAAGGAAACCTGTCGTGATATTTTTCAACGTTCTTGGGCAAAGGTTAGTCTACTTACAGATTGTATTTCGCTTTTTTGAATTTGATACTATCATATACATATTCACTACAGTTCAGTCTAACAACTTCCCAGATATTCAAACATCGATAAGTATAGTGGGATCTGATCGCCAGCCAAATGGTTGGTATTCCACGGAGTAAACCAGTTGGTGTCAGCTACGTCTACCAGTGTTATGTAACCACTTTTGAGACGTTTCACATGACTTTCTGTTCTTAAAAATTCCTATAAAGTCTGGCTATATATGGAATTGCTATGAAAATATGTTGATACAGAAAAAGGCATTCTACCTTAAAAAAATTTCAAACAGAATATTTTCAGTGATAATAATCTACTTTTATCTAGAAATGTAAAATATGGGAACCTGAGTGAGATAATAAACAATTTTATTTTGTTTAATGTCTCATTATTTAAGCTCCTGTGAATTAGTCTGTGTCTTCTCAAGAATATCCTTTGACTGAGTGAAGGTTTGTACACACTCTCTGTTGATGCAGTGTAAGTCTGTTTATGCCAATGCAACTCATCTGTATTTCGTGTAACTTCTAAGACTGTGTAAATCTGTTTCTCGGAACTTTTTGTATAAAACTGAAATTCCTTACTTTGTTGTAAACTTGACTATTATAATACCATTTTATTAGATTGATCTATGCTATTATTTATTGCATTTAGTATTCAACACATTTTTTTCCTGTTTTTCTTAGATCATTCGAAAACCAGCCCATAAGGTAAGCGATGAACGCATTGCAAAGTTAGTAGACGATTATGTTCAATATTTTTTTAAACATAAAACATAGAATTCACCACTTTGTTTATATATTTGTATATTTTATCTGCTGTTTACTTTTCCTAGATGAAAACCTCTTTATCCCTGTCTTGTTTATATGTGATTGTGAAATTTATTGAACTCTCTTAGTGTTAATACATCGTTTGAAATGTGTTTTTTCGTTGGCACTAACTTTCAAATCCAATTACGTATACGCACTGTAACAAACTTTGAAGATATTCTTAGATGGTCTTTAATGCATTAATTTTCTTCTTAGTGATTACCTAAGTGTTCATGCCACATGTATCCTGAAGCAAGTCCAGTGTATTTACTCATGGGTGGGGGCAGCAGCTTTTTGGAAACATTTTCCAGTCAAGACTACTTCCTACGTACACTTGTTTGGCCTTTGTACGTTAGCTCTTCACCTAATCAAGAAAGGAACCTTTATTTGATTCACTGTGAAAAAGTGTGCAGTGTAATGATTAGTGTAGCGTATCAAGTTTTTGTATAACTGACGCTTAATTTTCAGCCCGACAGTTGTATTGATAAGGTTGATCAAAAGCATTTGCTATTATAAGGAAAACGAGTAGTTTATATTACGGGATTTTGAGCGAAGGCGAATCGTAATTAAGCCAAGTTGTTAGCTTTATTCCTGCCACAGTTAAGGCTAAAATCACAAGCATATGATCCACTGTACATCAAATTAAAAACTGATGATCCCCAAAATACCAACTAAGTAATGCATTTTTAAAAGTACGCTGAAATTGGTAACAAAAATAAATATTTGATAATGTTATTTCGCTCATTGCAGATGACGTATTCTTAAGACCAATCTATCCCTTACCAGGGATCAAATATTGTAGTTAGAAAGTGGGTTCGTAACGGTCAGGAAGTACTTGATGTCTTTTCCCGAGCTGCGACACATTTCGAGGGCTGCATGATATCAAGGTACTCAACTAAGGTCACTATCATACTAGTTTAGGAAATAAGTTGTCAAATAAACTAATGGTAATAATACTTGCTTAACCGTATGCGGCTTCATTTTTATGCTGACCAAGAAAGTTATGGTTCAACTCAAATTTCCTTGTGATGATTGTATTGCAATGAAACGAGAAGAAAGAAGGAATGTTTATTGTTAACAAGTGGTACAGTAGTCGTTAAATATGGTACACCTTGCACTAAGACAGTCATTTGCAAAACGTACTTCATTTCCTCTTCTGCTTCTCTCTTGATTTGCTCTTCATACGCCCGCGTTGTATCTTCCGTTTCTCTTGGCAGGATTCTTACCCATAGCTGGTAATTCCCTCTGATTTCTGCCACCTCAACATATACTACTTATGTCCATTCTTATCAGCAACGCCCACTACAGTAGTACCTATAACTGATTGTTGTATTTTTTGCTGTTTCTCTAGTATATTTTACTAACAAGTATATGTAAAAAGGATAGAATGAGTCTTAACCTGAAAAACACCCAACCGATAGCTGCTAACTCGATGTGGTGGTCGAGCTTGCATATTACAATGAATTAACGAGCTATGTTGTTGGAACGCTTGTTCCTTCAAGGTCCTGTCATTTCAGGAAGGTCAATTGGACAGTGTTTAGACGAAAAGCAGTCATCGTTATAGTGTAAATGGCTAGACTACGATAGGGTTTCGGGGCGAAATCGTACTGCTAACTGGACGGGACGTGATAAAAATATGGCATTTTTTGCAATCTCTGCTTACTTACCCAATGACTACAGTTGGGATGATTTCTACGGAAAACTCTACTTCCCCCCTGGAAGCCAAATGCTCAGACTGGGTTGCTGCGGCAGGGGATTCCTATGCAAAAGTGGGCAAGCTTAGTCGAGCAGAAAGGCACTTTCGAAATCCTCCCCTAACGAACAAATAACGGCGATCGCCTGCCACAACTGTGCTCAGACTACCACCCATTTCTGACCAACGCGAACTTCGAAGATAATGACAGACGTCTGACGTGGAGTCCACAGAATTCAACTGAACAGTGAACACAGAACATATTGTTTTCAGTTATCTCTGAAGGGAGTTTGTGGATGATTACCGCTCCTTCCGAAGCACGTGTTTATCTGCGTCTCATTAGACGTTTGGAAACTATATAGCAGCAAGAAAATGAGGCTGGTTTCAGTGAGAAACCGACTAGGCAATTCACAGGAACAGAACAGCATCACTCATCTAAAAGGAGCTTTTTGCTATCGTCCGTTGGCTGTAAAAACAGCACTAAAGACAATAGCTGAGTCTCAGAAAGTGGTTAGAAAGAACCACTGCATTTCAGTAGTCTTTTCTTCATTGTTGAATGCATGCAAACGCATCCCTTTGGGCTGCGAATACAATGAGGAGCGTAAGCAACTCAAATTTAGGCTGACAAAGGGTCTACGCAGTTACCACGAAAAGTGGCAGGTAGCTAAAGCTCAAGAGATGGAAAAGGTAGTGGCAATAAGTAACATTAGACAGTTTTTTAGACTTATCAAGGAAACGGGTGAAAAGATCAGTCGTTAGTAAGGTTATGGCGTATAAGGATGGGTCTCTAATCCACCGACAGGAGAGACGACTGAAGCGATGAGCCGAACAGTTCAACTAACCTGCTGGTATTCCGTTGCCCTGAATCCAGTTGCACCTAGAATGGGACGCCCAACACTTGCACGAGTCAGAAAGCTGTAGGTAATCTGGAACTAAAAAGGGAACCAGACTGACTATCACCAGAGGAATTTAAAGTTGATTGCGATTATTGGTCAGGTTAAACGAAGGGTTGACTAGTGCGTAAGAGTGTGATGTAACCCTATCTAACTGGCTTCGATCACTGGTTGTCCCAGTCTTCAAGAAAGGTGAGAATTTGTATTGTTATGACTACAGCGGAATCAACTGGACGAAAATAATGTCCAAAATTTCAGGTTACATTACCGTCATTTATCTTGGTGGGAATTGGAAACAGCAAACTGGAAAAAGCCGGGCAAGTCATGTGTGTCGACCTGATAATCGCATTCTACTGGGTTCTGGAACTCAGGCAGACTTATCGATGCCTGACATTAATTATATTTTCTTCCTGAAGGTAGCCTGTCGGACGAGAGGTTTTATGGCAGTGCCACACTGTTAGGGGGTGCCGCATAGGTACATCACGCTGCCAAGTCCTCAGCATCCATAGGCGTGTTAGAGCTTATGTTGAAGTGTCACAAAACGTTTCTATGTCAAGTGGTGTTCTTCGAGAATATTCTGTTCTGTAGTTCGCTTCGTTCTGCTTACTCCTGTGATTTATTATTATTATTATTATTATTAGTCCCTTGGGTTCCTAATGGAACATAGGGCTTCAGTAGCACGTCTCCAGTGAACTCTGTTCGCCGAAATCTTTTGAACCTGGCTCCACGACAGCCCACAAGCTCTCATTTCCTCCCCGCACGATCTCCTCCATGTCACCCTTGGACGTCCAACTCGTCGCTTCCCATGGGGATTCCACTCGAGGGCCTGACGCGTGATGTCCCCAGTCGGCTTTCTCAGTGTATGCCCAATCCATCTCCACTTCCTTCCACTGCATATTTGTTGAGCGATAGGTTCTTGGTTGGTCCGTTCCCAGAGCTCCTTGTTGCTTATTCTTTCTGGCCATCTGATCTTCAGTAACGAACCAGCGTAAGCAGTTGTTGATGAATGTCTGTAGTTTATTGGAAATGCCTTTCGTAACGCGCCAAGTCTCTGAACCATACAGAAGCACTGACTTGACGTTGGTGTTGAAAATCTGGATCTTGTTTATGTGACATCAGGCACAAGTCATCGGCGAAATCCAGATCTTCTAGGTTCTTTTCCGCAGTCCAGTGTATCTCCCTCTTCTCGCTCCCCACTGTTTGCTGCATGATCCAGTCGGCCACAATCAGGAATATCATTGGGGATAATAGGCAACCTTGTTTCGCTCCTGTCTTCACTTCAAAATCATCACTGAGCTTCCCATTGTGAATTACTTGGCATGTGGAGTCTTCATACAGTTGTTGAATGAGGTTGATTAGGGTTTGTGGTATTCCGTAGTGTTGAAGCAACTGTCACATTACCTCTTGGTCGACGCTGTCGAAGGCCTTTTCAAAATCGGTAAAGTTGAGGTAGAGAGTTGACTGCCATTCTATACTCTGTTCTATGATGATACGAAGCGTTACAATTTGGTCAGCACATGATTTGTACTTCCTGAATCCAGCTAGTCTGTTCCGGTCGTAGTTTTGAATCCAGTGCATCCTTTAGCCCCTCCAGTATGATGCGACATAATATTTTGCTTGGGGTGGACAGGAGAGTGATTCCGTTCCAGTTCTTGCGAACACTGAGGTCTCCCTTCTTCGGCAGTTTGACAAGGTAACCCTTCTTCCAATCGCCAGGTACCTTCTCTTCCTTCCACACCTTCTGCAATAGTGGTGTGGTGTGAGCATGTCCGCTGTTGTCTCTGCATCTGTTTCCAGTGCTTCTGGTGGGATTCCATCTGGTCCTGCTGCTTTCCCACATTTCAGTAGCTTTTTGGCCTTCAGGACTTCCATTTTCGCTGGAGGATTTATGTTCACTTGTAATTCAGCGGCTGCAGGCGGTGGTCGATTCAAGAGCTTCTTGAAGTGGTCGGCCCATTGTTTCCTTTGTTTCTCTTCTTTGATAATTAAATTTCCTTCTTCATCTTTTATTGGTTTCGTCTGCGTTGATCTCCCAGATAGCAACCTGGTTATTTGATACAATGTCGTCAGGTCTCTCTTACCTGCAGCCTGTTCTGCTTCACTTGCCAGTGTTTCGTAGAAGTGTCTTTTGTCTTTGCGTGCACTCTTCTTCACTTCTTTGTCTAATGTTTTATACATTGTGCTCAGTTCCTCTTGTCGTTGAGCATCCTTGCACTGGTTTATCTTCTGCTTCACCATCCTCCTCTCCCTTCTCTATCAGCTTCCAGGTATCCGTCGAGATCCATTCCTTGTCGTGTTTCTTCTTCTTCCTTCCT